GTAAGGTAAGGTAAGGTAATGTAATGTAAGGTAATGTAATGTAAGGTAATGTAATGTAATGGTTTATAGGTAACAACAATGCCGAGTAAACAGATGAAGTTTCCTAGGTAACAAAAATGCTTGAATACTGAACTTGAATTAGTAAACAGATGAGGTTCCTTAGGTAACATAACAATGAAGTTACACTTTTTCGTAACACTTTTTCGTTTCCCTTTTTCGTAACACTTTTTTGCCGAATGACCCTTCCTCATAGACGTATTTAGGTCAAAAAGTAAAACAGCACAGTATGCCAGTACATGGATATGAGAGGTCAGTTTGACGTTCCGTCCGCATTATTCCTGGCCTAAATGACACGCCATATCCACTGGATAAGAGACTGGGTGGACTTCAAATCCAGTCTTGACATTGTTACCAACAGGAAAGATATTTTTCCCTTGCTGGGAATCAAATTTCCGGTCATTCAGTCATTAACTGAACTACCCCGTGTTGCATTTGTGTGTAGCATGATCAAGCTACAGCAGAAAGAACAGATCTTGTAAGCCGGACGCTTAAAGAGTAAAATTAAAGTAAACTGTCCCGCTACACATCATGTAGGCACTTGGGGGGGGGGTGGTGGTGGTGGTGGTATAGCTCCTACTCATTCTTAACCTCGGCATTAGACAGACGTTTTAAAATGTATTCTGTTAAGACGAATTTAGAACTATTGTTCAAACTTACGAAATACTACATGCACGAGTCAACAGAAGCAGATGATTCTTGGTCGTTGGTTTAACGAGTACCTTCGGCTTTCGGGTGTGAGCCGCGTCGAATGTTGAATACTGACCAACGTTTCGGTATACACTGCAGTTGCCATCTTGAAGAATATGACTTTCACCTTGAAGATAGCAATTCTTCAACAGGTTCCACTGCTACTAGTGTTGCTACAGCGGCGATTATAAAGATGACATCTTCTAGAATGATGTAGGTAGCGAGGACCTCTGAAACGTCGGTAAATTTCTACCAGACAATACGGCGCAACATCCCAGAAGATAGTCATTTTAGGTGGTATATATATTTACCACTAGTGTATAAAGGTTAATGTGTGGAGTCCTGAAGTATGTTAGTGTTTGTCTCCTTGAAGAATTTCTTTCATATTAAACTCGTCTGCAAATGTACATGATTTGACGACACATTTTCTTTCTTTGGATTATAACATGATGTGGCAAAACAAGTATAAGCAAGCTTTTGCTCTCGATGCTACTGTCAGGAGCTGGAAGTAGGAAGGTTCTTATTTCGTGATTTATTCTTTATGGTCATCTGACATTTACGAATACCGTTGTATAAAACTTGCACTTTCATTGCACACAGTCTTCTCCTTCTATGCCTCGGAAGGATGACATTTCATAATGTACATGGCGCCATCTCCACGTATAAGAGTCTCTGCTTGCAGGATCCATTACTTATTATACCGAAACACAAAAACCTCTACACTCTGCAAATCACGGAAATGCTTCAATAATACAAATGCGGTCGATTAATTGGCACAGACTTTATTACTTTAAATACGAATCATTAACTACCTGTACCATTTTATTTAAGAATTAAATAATTATGCATTTTCTATTTTTAAAGTTTCTAAAATTCTCACAAAAAATATTATTTCTGTAAACGGTGTTAACTAGTTGATCTTTGTAATGGTAAAGTGCGGCATTTTCTTTTCGGTGCGACTGAGTTCGTAAACTTTATTCAGACGCGCTTTGGCCCCAAAGGATTAAAATGCGCATTCAGTCAGTCTACTGGGCAACGTACGTAATGACTCGTCCATGTTAAAAAGACATACTCGTGCCCAGACTGTTCACACGCCACTGTCGCGAGCCACGGACACTTCAGACAAGCTAAACTCTGCGCGGAGTTAACTAACCACAAATATCTGTGCTTCGAATCGTAGAAACCAATTTTTAAACCATTTATAATTACTTATTTAATGGGTTGCGTGACTTTTCGGCCACTCCATACAATATTTACACGTCCGAAGGTCAAAGTTTTGATGATGCAATCAATAAGTTCCAGTTTTCTACACATTAATTATATTAATTTAAAACAGCTTGGAATTTGGTCCACCCATACTTACGAAGATGGCTGGTAGAGATTTACTAAAGTTCAGCCACACTAAACAGCGCAATAACCCAGAAGACAGCCATCTTCATAGTCGAAGCCGTGAGAACCTCAAATCATACCCATATTTATGATGTATAAAATACACTTTGTATCCTTGAATAATGATACGTAATACAAATTAAAAGGCAAAGCTTTTATGACGTGAATACGTCTTTAAAATCAGACCGACATATGGGATACCAGGACGGAAACGGCGATGTAACGTTTGCAGTGTGATCCATTCCGACACTATAACTTCGTGACTAATAACACGATTGAAATAAATGTGGTGTTGTTCGATCGGGTATACAACTACGATGCGAGCATGACCTTGAGTTGGCGCCGCGCATGCGCGAGGCGCGGGTGGGGGGCCGCGGCGACTGACGGCCATTTTGGGCGTGGGCGAAAATTTCCGGGCAGTATATCTCGCGACTCCGATGTGCTAGCGCGCTGATTTTGGTGCCAAACGAAAGATCTCGACTAGATCTGTCGATTTAAGCAATGAAAGTGAACTTTGTAAAATATTTGTTGGTGACAAATCAAAAATAAGTCGTGAAAAATTTAAACTTTCTGATGTCGGCCCATATTAACCGAAAAGCCAAGAGGAAATACATGCAACGCATATCATCGGAAAGGGCGCCTAATCAACGATCACACGAATACTTACTATACTTACACCCGAATGCGTCGGTTGAATTCTGTCTGTATCGATCGCTCATGCAATATTTGGAGAGCGTTAAGAAAATCTTTCTCAACTTCTTACCCGACACGGAAACTCCGATCGTTTTAACGGGGGACTTCAACATCGACGTACGACGCAACCAGTCTCTGGTTGAATTCATGCAACGCGAGTTCCGTCTGCAGTATGTGCCAACGACGCCTACAACACTGGGCAACACTACTATAGACTTGACGTTCGTAAGAAACATTAACATCTCAGTTATGCCTTTCGTGTCTTACTTCTCTTACCATAGACCAATGCTAAACAAAATTGTCATCGATTACCAGCTAAGACTCTGTATATTTGTTGTGCTAAATAAAAGCCATGTATCCATTTCGTTACTTTCATTTCATTCCCATATCCCAAAGAAAATATCACCCGCTAATGCAGACGTATTCACGTAAAACCCACTGCCGTGTCCCGACACAGCCACACCCCGAGTTTTTTTTTCATTATTATTTCATGCCCATTATATAAAAAAGTTTCTTCCAAAATCTTTGCAGAATTTACGTGTACATTCTTCAAGAAGTCTCAATGAAATGACCACAAGACTTCAATACTAACTCGTCAATACAACGCCTACATACGTAACCCTCTTGGCTCTAATGTGGTCTGTTCTGGAGAAGAGAACATATAGTTCAGCATCTGTTTTGGCTTGATATTTACCGCGCTGTTATAAATTAAGCCTGAAGACCTGGAAATGTCCAGTAACCACCGTCCTGAACACAAAGGTGTATCGGGTGATCATGTAATCCGTCACGGAGTTACCGCGATGTATCCTTGAGACAATACAACCTGATACCGTTATAAGAAGACTTGTGTGTGACGTAGAGACCACGTGACCAGTTCTTGTGGTCCGGTTTTCGCCTCTCGCCTGGAGTTCGGGCAGTCTTACTCAGACCAACGTGCAGAGAAGCCTGACAGATGGCAGTGTGAAAGGTGTGACCAAAAGTGACAAGGTGTTGAACGCGAAGTTAAGTGGTAATATAAATGCGTGCAGACAGTCTGTGGCGATGGCTGTGGTGCCAAAATTGTTTGTAGTGTGTCCCACTTTGGTGTTTGTGTTACTTGGTTGCTGTGGCAGGATAACAGGACAAGGTAAGGAAACAGGAGTTTTCAACAAAGACTCGAGAAGTTTGAAAGAAAAAACAAGTTTTCGTCGTTGCTTTTAAAATACTCGCTATTTTATATTCCGTCAACTAAGACTTATCACCAAATATATGAAAGGAAATCTTAAACATTCACACGAAAATATGTTTTGTATGCCGGCTGCTAAATATAATATCAGCTTAACCGCGGAAGTAAATACGTATTGCCAAATCATTACTGCTTGAAATACTAGGACTTTCTTCGCCTTTACATGGCATCATTCCACGAAGGAAAGGACTCAAGCATTCCAGGTATCATCAGCACGTGGAAGACAATGGTTGGCGCCGTCTTAACCCCCTTAAAGATCTACTCTATAAAAAATGATTATGCAAAACTGCTACTTTTGATAGGGCACCCGCGTCCTTTTGTTTACACTTTTAGACTAGTTTCCAAAATCAAAATGTTTCAGAGGCAATGTAGTCTAACACTATGCGTCTGCATCCCATGTTAACTGATCAAAAATCGAAGGTAATGTCAGTAACGAACATTATAAAACGATATTATTTCAGATCTCTATTTTCAGCAGTAACGTCGTTAAGACTTCCGAGGTGTCTTTCAAAGTCTTGTACTGTCCCATAAGTCTGAAAATAACATCAGGGCTACTAAACTAAATATTTCGACAAATCTCTCGATACTCATAAAGCGTTAAGATAAGGGTAAAAGTGAGAATAGAAACAGTCCCTATGCCTGGACTCCATGATACGAAAAACAAGACTTAAACATAGACATCTGATTAACTTAGTCACTAGATTTATCTTAGCAATCAGCTTAAAGCTCTTGTCGTCTTATCCCTTGAGAAAGTGTTCCCCGTATCCACTGGGCCGACAAAGAAGTCGCTATTATGGTAGAGATTAAAAAATTAAAAAGACCGCGCCGGGATTAGAAGCCATGTATTATCTGAGCTGCAGAGGCTACTAGCATTCTAAATATGCTGAAAATGAGAACTACTTTCTTCTGCGATTTGGTACCGTGTAGACGAGTCTACACACAGCCAAAACCCAGTAGACCATCATTATCCTCACCGCAGATCTCACACGTCTACAAAAGTTTGTATTTCATCGAAAAGTAAAGTTTAAATTGAAACGGACAATGAACATTTACACTTCATTTGCTATTCGTAACTCACTGGTGTCCTACCATTACCCGCTGCGTGACCTACGGTAGGGATCACAAATCGTGTGGCTGTGGGCGCCACTGCGCCTTCAGAAGGGTTTTAGGGTGATATTGAGAACTTTAAAATGTCGATAAATGATATTTTTTAAATTTGCTGGATACCTTTTGAGAGACAGATTGAGCCAAAACACATTTTGGAAAATGTCTTTCGTGACAAAATAATGTTATATAATTATTTCAATTCTATTTTATTCAATAGATTCATATGGTGCCCAACACAAGTCATAAAGGTGTCCCAAATAGTTGTATACAGAAGGTTAATATTCCGTATTATGTGTATAAATCTTTTCGGGACACCTGTATAAACTTCTGCTAGATGCCCGTTGCTAAAGAAAGAATGGCTGCCCCAACCCTGTGGGGTTATAAAGGGTCATTATATAAACAAAAAATTTCATTTATTTGGATTAATTTGTACTGTTACTTGGTACAACGAGAGAAACGGTCTTCGAATATCGATTTTTACAGTATCACCAGAGACAAAGTCTACACGGAAGACTGGGTCTGATACCAGGTGGGGTGTCTCATCACCGAGGGGCAATAATTGGTAGTTTCTGTTTTAAGTTCTTTCACCGTTCCTTGTCTAAATGCATATAGAATGAAAGCGAAGGAATGCTTTGCAGTCCTCTGACAAACGCGTAAGATTTGTGTCTGCTTCCAGGGACGACTTACATGCAGTATATCAACTATAAAGTGGCTAAAACAAAGAGAGAAGAATGCTAGAATTTGGGCTGATATTATGACATGCAAAACACGCGAAATAGACATCAGAGGATTACCAAATATGTGTAATTATATACATTACTTGTAGTTATGTTGCGAATGAAGTCATGGAAAAATAACACTTGAAAAACTCATCTCAATAATGTTTTAAGAGCTGGTTTCCTGCGTCCAACGACATACAGGATGTTCAAAATATCTCTGTACAGTATATACGTAATTGCAAGTCTACAACATACAGAGATAAGCAACATGGTTATTTTTTTGTCAAGGTTGGTAGCACGGTTTTATGTAAACAGTGAACAATTGTCATAAATCCCAGGCACCAAAGAAGACAAAAATAAACATTTCGCTAATCTCTGCATGTTATAGACTTGAAAATACGTATATCATGTACAGAGATTACTTGAAAACCTGTACATGGCGAACAGAGTTCTATCTCTCCTAAGTATATTTGGATTAATAAAGTTTCATTAAAATTATCACGTTTTACTCTGAAAATCAAACCCATAGATTTATTACA